GGAGTTAAAGGATGTCATGCAGCAGTTGTGAAGATTCAGGAGTCTAACCAAACAATGAAGAAGCACACAATGACCGGAATTCGGGCTCTCAATAATTTCACCTTTGAGTCAGTAGGTTTGCGAGCATGGAGGGCCTACAATGTGGGCCCTGGAGAGCTTTTCACACCAACACAGGTGAAGCGATTTGGTTTGCCTCAGGGGCCTACCGGTCTCCAAGTCATGCAGCCCTTTAGCATACCACGAGAGGATGGATGGTGGTGTTTTTAGATCTTTTAGATTTTTAGATCTGTGTCAACAAGGGCTGAGTGCGTGCATCCTCAACCTTGCACGCCACAATCTGTTGAAGATTTCCCAGCTGATGAAGCTACACGATCTTTCTTATCCTGTCCTGAGGAAGGGTGTACAAAGACATGCCAGTCTTTTACAAATCTGCAGAAACACCTGGATGTGGGTAAACATCTTGTCAAATTAGAGAGAGAATCGACCTACGACAGTGTAAAGAAGAAATGGGCCGAAATGTGCAAAGAGGTCTCGGGGAGCTACACAAAAAGAGAAACAGCTTCCAACCCGCAAACATCTAGGTATGATCCCACCTGCCAGATCTCCAGCAGATGGACATTAAAAACATCGCAAAAAGCAACACGCTTTACTGAATAAGTAAAGGCACATCTGAAACAGATATTCATGGAAGGTGAGGAGACTGGAAGGAAGGCAAGTGCATTTGACGTGTGTAGCAAAATGAGAGCTCTGATGACAGTGGCAGGAAAGTATTTAGCAAAAAGGAGTGGTTGACTACAGAGCAAATAGCCCGATACTTTGGAGCAGATTGTCTGTTCTGTATAAAAGTGGCCGTCTAGCCATAAAACAAGCTCATCAAGATGAAGAGGAAGACTTTGTTGGAGAGGCAGCAAAGATGTACGCAAGGCTTGAAATAAGAAGACAGTTGGAACTTTAGGCCATGAATAATAGTGCTTTAGGTACATGCTTCAATCGGCCACTTTCGAAATTAGGGGGATTGGGTAAGATTTTTCAAGATTTCCCAAGATTTCCTACTGCCTCTTTTGAAAATGTCTCGATTGAATTTCAGCATGAGCCCATAATGGCTCCTGTTTTCAGCCGTTTATTGTGCCATTATGCATACATAAACGAAACATGTATATCAGGCAAAATTGCTCGGGTGTAATCAGGGTATAAATACAGTATTTACCGTCACTTCGCCTGTAGTTTGCATGATTTTGTAGGAGACGTTGTTTCGTTCCTGGTTACATGGAATTACAAATAGCTTTAACCGCTGATTAGAAATAACAACGTCTCAGGGCTCATGTTCTCAAATGTTGCCATGTTTCAACTTATTGCTCCGTCAAGTCAATAATTTGTCGTTTCTTCGGCTAAAATGGAATTAAATACATTTGCTAAACTCCAAAATTTACTGGCAAGAGCAAAATGAAGTATATGAGGGAAATGTATCAGGAAGCATTCATCCGAGGCCGCTGGAGCGCAGTGTGAGTGTATTTTATACTAATTGTCGAGGTCAAGTTGATGACCATTTAAGTGTAAATTATTCAAATTTCTTGCTAAGAATAGACAGATTAGCCAGGATCGTTTATTTTGAACACACGGCAGTTTTAAAATGATAGGATCGCGCTTGTTCCTACGCGAGCGTTCTTATTAATAGAATCTGGATGCTATTAAACTTAATATTACCATCATTTTGGTGGATACAGCAATGAATATTGCTTTCATGTATGACCCATATGTAAGAAATAATAAAAAAGACACTACTTATTTTACTGTTTGGGAAATTGCGTGAATAAACGTATCATATACTATTTTGTTTTCTTAGATTTGTTCCCTCTGTCTTAGAGGAAACCAGTTCATGTCATGGGGCTTGGACCGCTTTTAAAACCAAAACTTGACAGATGCCAAAAATTTTATTCGCCATTTTATAGGATAGGTTTAAGTGTCTGTAAAAACAAATTTGAAAAAGGACGTTGGATTTTTTAGATATTTAGACCTAACCTTTAGCTATTTTCTCTAATTTCATAATCTTTTGTGACATGGGTGGGCACTGTGGTCCCTTGATTGGCACCTGTCACTCCAAATGACTGGAAACTGCAAGTATCAATTGACATAGGATTGACCTTTATTTGCGTCAAAGGGGATGAAAATTCATTGTATCTTCCAACCAGGAGCAGTGTCTAATTTTGATGCTTATTTTCGTGAAATTTTGATGATTAAGGGTGAAAATCCAGGAGGGGTGCTCTAACTCCCAAGGGAATAGTTGGAAATCAGACTCGCTTTGTCTTTGAGAGTTATTGGGTGGGTACTTCAACCTGACCAAGTTTCATGCAAATCGGAGAGATAGCTTGTGTCACACCTGCCTGGTCCTCCCATGGACACAGTCTTAAAAACTTCACCAGCTATGCCTGTAGAGCAGACAACTCGCACCCCCTCTCCTTTAAGCCTGCAGATTTCTGACAACTCGAGATTTTCTGGTCCCAGCTTCTCCAGATATAGAAAAATTATGCCCTTCCAATGCTGTTTTCGCACAATCTAAGTTTCACTGCCATCAAATCTATTCTTTTAGCTTGGCACGTGCTTTTGACAGAATCAAAACAAACACACAGGCGTCTTATACCCGGGAAAACTCAGCGCAGCTCAATTGATTGGTTACAAGTGACTTTCGTTTTAAGGAGCGGAAGTTACAAACATCCCTGTGTGGGGCAAGGTTGTGGTTTTGAACTGCCAATGGTCGCGATACGCTGATTGGTAGATTTAAATCCACGCGCGTACCTCAAATGCCTTTGGTCGAGATTTTTGCACCGGTCATTTTGAGAAATCTGGTCTTGAAACTTCAGGATCGCTTCTCTCACGAAATTTTGGAAGGACTGAGCTCTCATTCGGATGAGGCATGGATACATATCTAGTAGATTGGGAACCGTTATTTTCGAGGTAAGAAATTAGATAGTTTGGCGTCAGTTCCAGCTTAAACTGGGCTGGGTCACGCGCCGGCGGCTGATTGCTGCCTGCCTTGTCTCCGTCTTTAGTTCTATCCGCCAAGGTCAAATATTGATCTCGCAAAATAGCACTTAAAACAGCACTGGACGGCGAAAAAAACGACACGAGTCAGTTAACATTTTCTTCAAACTTTTATTGAAAAATCTGCTTTAAATTCTGCATTTTGGAACTAATTATAGCCATCGTATTGTTCATATGTATTTCTTCTATAAATAACAAAAGATCGTTGCTCAGATTTCAATCAACAACAGCCCCCAGTACCAGAGGGTGGTCTGCCTGTGGGTTACCAGCTGTCTTTTGGGTAGAATGGATTTGACTGCATTCAACTAAACAACACTTACATCTTCAGAAATATAAGGGTTAAGAAGGACATTTACAGTGGAGAAATCTATGTGAACACCGCAAAGGAAGGCTTCAAATTAGAAGAAACTGCTGACTTCCCAGAACTAGTAGAAATAGGGCCCACTGTCATAGATTATTGCCACTAGAGATACTACCATAGCCTTAATTAGCATCAAAATGGTCTCATATTATTATGCCTGGAGTGCCTGTGAAAAAACAACAGAGCAAAGTGGAAAATTGCTCAAGTGCAATTCATGCAAGCTCAATGACCTGTTAGGCCTGAGAGCAAACATTGGTTTGTTAAGGTGTTCACTAAAGACTCTACCACAAAAGGTATAATATCATATAAGGCAGCAATATATTTCATAACCAACTAGTAAGGTGTAACTGAAGGAAGAAGAAGTTAGAATCGCTATTCTCAAACGTGAAAACAGCAGATTGATGAAAGAATCCGATATACGGAGACTGGAGACTAAACTAACACTGCACAATCAGAGAAATCAAATAGATGATTTGAAAGAGTCTGAAGAGGAAGACAGACAGGAAATCTACTACCAGGCGCTTTTCGTGAGACTTTTCCGTAGAATTTTTAAGCGCTGAATATAACCATCTTTTTTTTATTCATTTATTTATTACTTACTTACTGACTGAAATCACTTTAATTGAATTTTGTTGTCGTGAAACAGATTACCAGTTACACTAGCTTTAAGGAATAAGATAATGAATATTTTGCGTAATTCAAGAGTTGCACGTAAACAATATTTCCACCCCAAAACCAGAACTGAGCACCCTTCCAACAGGGCCTCTTTTATCTTCTTCATTAAGGAGTCACCACATTTCTAAACTAGTAAATCTTGTTCTCAAACTGGTTTCAGCATTACATTGCCTTAGAATATACTTAGGGCTGTGAAGTACCTGAAAGTTAAGCATAAATTCAACGTCGAATACCATAATCGTAAAACTATTTGAAACATACAACAAAAAGCTCCACGCTGACCTTAAAGAGGACTCCATGTAAATTAAACCTAGTCTCACAAAAGAAACCTGCACCCACAAGAACAAACGATACACACCAAATGTTTTGCTCATCAAGTGTCTACTTAAAACACACTTGAGCAAAGATTCCTTTGGCAAGGTTTTTGTCCAAGACACGACATTACAGGCTATATTTTACCTAATGTATTTCATCAAAAAACTGCTGAAACCGTTGGACGCAAAAGACAAATAAATGCTAACCTTAATAAGAGGCCATCCTCTGGGAAGCAATTGGTTTGAAAATAACCTACACCTTGGCTGACGGGAAACTACTGAAAAAAATTAAAACTGATCTCATGACACTGACAAGTATTGTTCACATTAAGTTGCCATTTTTCCTGTTTTAGAGTTATATTTTACACTGTAAATTCAAGCAAGGAAAGCTTCGAATGCTGCTTACTTAAATAAAGCTGAAAATTTAAGAAAGCGGCTTCTAATTATGTACAATTTTAAAAATAAGGATTGCATGATTTCCTTTTCCTGTTGAGTTAGTTACGGGAGGTTAAAGATGATGATCAGTCTTCAGTCTTGTCCATTTCATCTTCATATGTTAAGCAAAAGCAGCAAGACGCAAAGGAAGCCTCTGAAAGGTTAATGGAAGTGGAGAAAAAACAAAAGATAAAGAAAAGGAATTAGAAAAGCTGATTGCAGAGCTTGAGTTAACTAAACAACGAACCGAAGAAGCAAGAAAATTGGCAGAATTAAGTCAGTCCAGAGCTGAAGCAGCAAAGGAGGCATCCAGCCCTGATGGTCAAGGTACTGTGCAACCGTCAACTGATCCTAAAAACTTTGTTCCCCTGCACAATGGAACCTTGAACAGTCACAAAGGAGAGAAAGAGCAACCTTTAGAGAAGGCACTGCCTGTCAAGTTAAAAGGTGTTGATCTACCCTTTCTCGCAGGGGAAGACAAAACAGACTATGAATCCTGGAAAGCAGCGTTCATGTCTATAGTTGACTGACTGGATATCCCTGTAGTTGAGAAGATGCTATTCCTACTAAACAGTTTGAAAGGAAAAGCCCTGACACTTGTGAAGGACCTTGGGTACTCAACACATGCTTAGGAGAGAGCAAAAGACAAGCTTGATAAGAAGTAGGGTGGAGAGCGGCGTTTACAGATAAAGCAACTGACAGCACTATGCACATGGCCAAGGGTTCAACCTCGAAATCTTGCAGACAGGGAGGAATTCCAAGCCGTAACAGACAGAGTAATGATAGCACTGCAAGACAGTGGACCAGGCAGGGAGTTGCAAGGGCAGAGCTTGAACCTTACATCTAAGGAAAAACTTTCGGAAGAAGATGTTCAATCGACAAGTATTGGCTTATTGGCCGTGCTTTAGACGATAATTTTGAGTCGCTTGTTGAGTGGGTTGAGCTTAGAGTGCAATTAATGCATTAGTGGAGTTCGAGACGACCAAACTCGTGCCAGAGGGTTTACAACACGCTCTCAAGCAAAGAGCTGCATTTTTGACACCTGCAAAATGGACCACCCACCTTGGGTTTGCAAAGCCTTTAAGGAGCTGCCTGTCCTGAAGAGAAAGAAGTTGATTAGCAGCACTGGCCGTTATCTTTGCCGGAGTAGCCTCGTTCAGGGGTTGGAGCCTCACAAGGTACAGGAGCAAGTGCTAATGGCTCAGCATTAGAACGGTAGCAAAACCGTGGAGAACAGACATACAGCACTAGACATACTGAGCGTGTTTCACTAATGATCTTGGCAGCCCTGATCAGCAACGGCAATAAAGAACTGAGGGTAAATGTCATGCTACACCCTCCTTTCAACAACTTCCTATATTGCAGAGGAGGCTGCTGAAGAGCTCGAATAGCATGGGCAGACGTTAAATTTGACTATTGCAGGAACAGGAGGGACAAGGATTAGAAAGCATTCATGCCAGGTGGAACTGACAGTTACACATCTTGATGGTAGATTTTAAAGTCCCTTACTGGCTCATCTTCTTGACAACATCGCTGGCGACACTCCAGCTTTTCCCTGAACAGAACTGAAGAAAAAGTGGCCCCACCTATGCCATGTGCCTTTTGGGAATGTATCTAGATGACATCAGCTTGATGTAATCATTGGCAGCGACCATCCAGTCATGTGTTGAAGGAAGCCTGTGGAAACCAACCAAATGACCCTGTTGCACGGTTGGCCAATTTGGGCTGGGTGTGCATTGGTCCTACATTGGTGGAAGAGTTTTGTAGGAACTCTCGTTCACATTTCACCCGTACATACCAAAGTAGTCAAGTTAACAAGCCGCCACCACCCGATGACATTTTGCATGCATTTTGGGAGGTTGAACCCCTGGCGATCAGAGACACCACTGAGCAAACGATGACAGCTGAGGAGAGAGCAGCAGTTCAATGAGTCGCTGAGACCTTGAAGTGTAATGACGGACGATACAAGATTGGAGTCCCCTGAAAAGAAGGCGAGCTGAAGCTGACCAGTAATTATGAAGTAGAATTTGACAAACTTACGAGTCAAGAGAAGTCCCTTAGGAGAAAAGGCCCAGAGGTGATGAAGGCCTACTCTAAGATCTTTGAGACTATGAGAAAAAGAATTACATACAGAAGGTACCCAAGTCAGAAACTGAGGAGCAGTAGTTTCTGTCACACTTTCCAGTGATCAGAGAAGATAGAGTTACAACGAAGGTCCGTATCGTCTTTGACCCTTTAGTGAAACATGACTGAAAAAGCTTAAACAGTGCCATACGACCAGGGCCAAAGCTTTAGAAAGACTTAGTTGATGTACTGACACATTTTTGCCGGCCACTTGTAGCTCTTTCAGCTGACGTTTCTGAGATGTTCTTGCAAGTTGGGCTTTAAGACAAAGACCACCCGTATCACCGGTTCCTGTGGTGAGACTTTGAAACTTCAAGAGATCCTGACATTTATAAATTTACACGACTACTATTTGGAAACACTCCTTCACCATTTTGCTCCCGGTATGTCCTTCAGACCCATGCGAAGACACATGCCTTGGACTTTCCCGAAGTAGCAGACACTATAAATGACTCAATATATGTTGATGATGAGCTAGACTCGTGTGAGACAACTCAAAGTGCTCAGCAGCTACGACATCAGCTGTCAGAACTGTTGGCCCTAGCTGGGTTCAAGTTAAGGAAGTGGTCTTCAAATGAACCGATAGTCACTGTCTTAGAAGACCGACTATCTACTTAGTTTGTCGATACCAGGACAACACTCCATCGTCTCACCTTGTTGCTTCAAAGAGTCGTGTTTCTCCAGTGAAAGCGATGACAATTCCCAGGCTAGAGCTGGCACAGAATGTCCTGAAGGTGATTTCCGTGGACAGAGTCGTCTTCTGGACAGACTCAGAGAATGTTTGGTACTGGGTTCGCAATCAAAGCCACGAGTTCAAGCCATTTGTTGCCAACCGAATTGGCTACATTCAAAGAACGGCAAGTCCCGAGCAGTGGCGGCACATTCCAGGAACGCTAAACCGACCAGACTTACCAACAAGAGGCCTTTCTGCCAGCGATCTAGCGGAGAGTGACGTATGGATATAGGAACCAACCTTCCCTAAAAATGATGAGTCAACCTGGCCAGCATTAACTCCCTTGAAAGAGAATGCTGAACAGACCATCAGTGATTGTGAAAGAAGAACGAAGACCAGTACACGTGACCTAGAGCTCTGCCAGTGAAAGCATTGACCCAAGCTGTTACTCAAACCTGACACAATTAGTTCACGTGACAGGATGGGTACAATGGTTCTTATCCAACTGCAGACTTCCCAAGGATTTACACAGAAAGGACGGAAGTCTTATGTCAGATGAGATAACAGCTGCAGAGACCTTTTGGATAAGGGTCACTAACAGGATTGAACCCGAAGAGAGATGACAATGACTTACTTCGAATGGATGGACGCCTGCGCTTTGCTGATAATCTTCCGTACGACACAAGGCATCCCATTTTCCTGCCAAAGAATCTTCCCATGAAAAGACTAGTTATTGTTGATAAACACAAAGGACTTGGCCATGAATCTGGAGTTGAACAGGTTCTTACTGAGTTGCAGAGTCATTTCTAAATCGTAAACTGAAGACGGGTGGCGCGAAACATTGTCGACGTGTGTGCTGAATGTAGACATCGTTTCAAATTGAGATTAACTTCCAGTTACTCAAGTTTATATTGTTTTCGACTTTACGATATTGCGATTTATAGGGGGAAATATTTACAACGGAGAATTCCCCACGCTTGGCATGGAAGCTTTAATCCTTACATTATAACCAACAAAGAAGCACATATTATAAATGGAAATATAACAAACAGTAACGTTAAGAATAAGGCAACCTCTGCCAGACAACTGTCACTGGAAACGAATGACAATCGAAGGCACTTTATGAATTATTGCTTGACCCATCCAGGCAGGTATTCTTGTGCAGTAGACTCTTTCCTTGAACTCGCTTTTGCTATGTTTAGAGATTCGTTACAACATATTGAGCGTAATGAGTTTATTGAAACCTTAAATGAAGCAATACATGTTTACATTTACAAAATTGTAATGTGGATACAGATATGAGCCTTATTCGAGAACTATTTGGTTCTATTTGACACAGCGTTGCAACTCATTTGCTTCAATGTCTGGACATACTGTATTTAGTGACATATTTACATTAAACACAGTTAGAACTATGAACCAGCAGTTGGAATCTCTTTTTCTCATACAGCAGAAAAATCAGTCAATTTGTTCATCCTGAAACAATGAAATTGTAAAAAATACATGTATATTCGTTACTTATATTACTTGCCAAAATTTAGGTCACAGCCTATTTGAAAATTGTGTTTGTCATGCAATACTTCCAAGTAGCAGAGCACTTTTCTGTGATTTGTCACAGAAAAGACTCCACAAACGTCAAGTCGAAGTTCAAATCGTGGTTGTGCAAATACTTGGGGAAAACCTCAGCGAGGGAAAAACAAGGGAAACTCACAAAGCCGAGGAAATGTGAACCAGCTGACCAAGAACCAAATGGCTGAAGATGATGCAGATAGCGATGATTTCTACGTGTTCAGTGCTGGAGCAACAGATGAGGAGAACACTCTGAAACTGATTAATGAAGATAAGCTTATAAACACTGTTATTGAATCTGGTGCTAGTTGTAATTTAATGTCAGAAGAAGAGTTAAATTTTGTAACAGGGGGTAGAGTTGAAGTGTTGGAGTGCACTAAGAACGTTTATGCCTATGCCTCAGTAGAGCCACTCACATATGGTAAAGCTGCAACATTACTAGGCCGCAAAACGTCTGAATTGTTAGGCATGCTAAGGGTTGGTGTCTCCATTAATAGCTGCAAAATCAAGGCTAATGGCCCGCCAGAAATGCCAAAGCATGCAGATAGAAAGGCTGCACTGAAAGGAAAATTCCCAAAAGTATTCCAAGGTCTTGGCAAGCTCAAGGGATACCAGTTGAAGTTTCATATCGACCAAGACATCCACCCAGTAGCCGAGCCACTACTTAGAATTCCTTTTAGCAGAAGGGATAAAGTTAATGAAAAGCTGGAAGACCTGCTCAAGTTAGACGTGATCATAGACAAAGTAGAAGGTCCGACTAGCTGGGTGAACCCTTCAGTAGTAGTTGAGAAGCCCAATGGGGATGTTAGGCTATGCCTGGACATGAGGCAAGCAAACAGAGCGATCGTGAGGGAGAAACACCCTGTCCCTACCGTAGAAGAAACACTTCAAGAGGTATCCTATGCAAAAGTTTTCTCTAAACTTGATCTCAACATGGCCTTTCATCAGATTCAATTACACCCAGATTCTAGGGACATAAGAACGTTTGCTGCACCCAATAGCCTATACAGGTACAAGCGCTTACTATTTGGTGTAAATATGGCCACTGAAAAATTCCAGCAAATTGTGTGGCAAGTGATCAAGGATTGTCGCAGGGCGTACAACCTGCATGATGATCTTCGAGTTGTTGGTGCAGACGACAAGGAGCATGATGAGAACTTGGAAAGAGTCATGCGCAAGCTGGAAGAAAGTGGGCTCACCCCGAATTATGAGAAATGTGAGATTGGGGTTAGTAGTATGGTTAACATGGGAGATATACTTTCTGGAGAGGGACTAAGGCTCTCCAGTGACCGAGTGAAAGCTATTGTTGAAGCACCAGCACCCCAAAACCTGATTGAAGTAAGAAATTTGCTTGGTTCCATGCAGTTTTGTGCAAAGTTTATCCCAAACTTTGCTACAATATCCAGTCCACTATGGGACCTAAGACCGATCTTTGCTGTGTGGAGAAAACAGTGTCCTACGCAGAATGAAGCCTTCAACGAAATCAAAGACCAGCTGTTTTGTGCACCGGTTATGGCTTATCACAGACAAGGTGCTCCCACACGGCTCACGACTGATGCCTCGCCGGTTGGAATTGGAGCCATTCTTGAACAGAAGCAAGAAGATGAGACGTACAGATCAATTTACTATGCTAGGCGAAAGTTGAGCAAAGTTGAGCAAAGATATTCCCAGTTTCAAAGAGACGCGCTAGCCGTCAGATGGGCATGTCACAAGTTCTACTTGTACCTCTATGGAATTAAGTTTGAGATATGCACAGACCACAACCCAATGGTCACAGTGCTCGACAGTCAGTCCAAGCCCCCATCTGCTAGGACAGAAAGGTGGCTCCTGTACCTGCAGCGGTTCCAGTATGAGTTGACACATATACGAGGCAAAGATAATGCCGCTGATGTGCTTAGCCGCCTCTCTGTGGGCCACGCCCAAGACAAAGACACTGTAAAAACAGAAGATTTTGCGTACAGTGTGGTGACTGAAGCAATGCCAGCCCCGTCAACACCCAAACAAGTGGAAACTCCTTCAGCAGAAGACCCCACACTTAAGCTCGTCCACCAGGCCGTGATAACAGGTAATTGGAGCAAGTTGTCAGGCACCTCTTATAAAGCAGTGAAAGATGAATTATGGCTGGTTGGGCAAGTAGTTATGAGAGAAAATTCTGTGGTGATGCCTGAGAGCTTATGGAAGAAGACCATTACCCTTTCTCATGAGGGTCAGCTGGGTATGGTAAGGACCAAGGCCAGTCTGAGAGAAAGAGTGTGGTGGCCACAAATTGACAAGCAGGTCGAAGAAGCTATCCGTGCATGCCACCCGTGTCAGCTTGTCAGACCCAGAGCCAAACCTGAGCCCATCAGATCAAGCCGGTTGCCTGACGGTCCCTGGCAAGAGATCTCAATTGACCTTCTTGAGATATCAAATGGAAAACACCTCCTGGTCGTGGCAGATTATTATTCTTGTTGGATAGAAGCTATACTACTGAAGAAAACAGATGCCAACCATGTAGTAAGAAGCTCGGAAGCCATCTTTGCAACACATGGTCTTCCCCAAACCATTCATAGTGACAATGGGCTGCTGTTTGTGTCAAAGGAATTCGAGGGGTTCTTAGAGTATCTAGGGATCGAGCACAAAAAGGGTGTACCATACTGGCCTCAGAGCAATGGAGACGTGGAGCGTTGCAATGAAACCCTTCTCAAGATTGTGCGAATCGCACGCCTTGAAGGAAAAGATTGGTGGAAATCTCTTCAAAACTTCCTGTTTCAGTACAGAGTAACCCCTCACACTGTTACTGCTGTCTCTCCTGCTCTATTACTTATGGGGAGAAAACTGCGAGACAAGCTACCGCAAGTTAAAATTCTTGAAGACCGACCCCCTGAGCCCTTTTGGAAACAGAAGCTGAGAGAGAGAGATGCTCGTGCCAAACTGCGACAGAAAGAACACGCAGACAAGACGAGGGCTGCCAAGTACAGCAACATAGAAGAGGATGACAAAGTGTTATTGAAGCAAACCCGTGAAAGCAAGCTTTCACCCAGCTACGAGGCTGAACCCTACGTAGGGAATGCTGTAATTCTGCAAGACGTCAATGGCAATAGCAAGATGCGCAACATCGCCCACATGAAAAACTTCATTGAACCTGGGCAAGCTAAACAGGGTCAGCTGCCACCACAGCCAACACCCTTGGTAGAAAAACAGCCTGTTCAAATTGCAGAGGGTCCGCCAACCCAACCGTGTGATCCCCCCACTAGCCCTTTGTCGAGTGATCCACATACCCCGCAACCCGTGCGCACTAGGCAAGCGCCAGCCTGGATGCAAGACTGTG